GACACTACCTTCTAGTCTAAGGAATTTAAGCATTTTAAGCATTTTCAATTTCCCTTTTTTTTCCCAAAGATTTAGGTTAGCTCTGACTTTATCCAACAAACATATAATGCACAGCGCTGGTATGTGACTGTCCATATTTTTTTCAAAACTGATAATTAAAAATGTCTTTTTACCTTTCATAGTATGAAGACCTATACCCAACTGGCATACATATCTATCATAATAAAAAGATCTTTCATTGCCCTGGATGATTGAGAGGATAACACAACACAACAAATAAACACTTAGGAAAATATCAAAGTTCTGATAGATTATCTGTAATCCAATTTTGTAAATATAGCCAAACAAAGTCAGGAAATAGGCCCAATGCTAAAATAGTAAGATTTCTCTCAGGGTCTTGATTTAAACATAATTTTTTTTGTATTTATACAAAATATTTATATTATTACATTATATTTATTATTTATGTTATTTGTATTTCTATCTCCTGATGTGGAAAATTTGCCGCTATGTGTTTATGTGCTTATAAAAACATATAATAAAAAGGGATGCAAAATTAGAAAGAAAAGAAAGGAATGAGACTTATCACATCACAAGACCTCATACTGTATTTCTTTAAGAAAGGACTAACTATTGCATAGACTAGAGTGAAACATGGAAACTTTGTAAGCTGATATGCTGAATGCATCACAACTCTTGTTTAATAAAAGCCTTGTAGAGTCTATGACAAGTCAGTAAAAGTACGGAGATTAGTCTGTGGAAGATAGCCAGTATGCTCCAGTTGTGCTTTGTGAGATTACAACTTTTAAGTCTAAATATACATCTATATTAGAAAAAGCCAAACGAGTGGAGGAGGGAGAAAAGGGTTACCAATGATTTGGATAATGTGAGATAATTTCATTGTAAAATTTTACTATAGAAAATACAAGCAGCGTTTTGATCTCATTATAATGGACAAAGCTAATCTTTCAGCTTGTTCATGTCCTGTATGTTATTTTGGTTACCACCACAACAGCATCATTTTCTACATATTTATTTTTTACTACAGAAGAGATAATGCAAAACCAAACTCTTTTTGTAGTTTTACTAAGACCTGTGAATCTGAAACTTGACTTGCTTAGATATTTGAGCTCTAAATGGTGTAAAATTATAATTATACTGAATTTCTTGACTCTTATATAGCTTGGTATCAGATCTATTGTTTTCTGCTAAGTGTGAATTTTTCAATAACCTGTAAAGTCACCACAAAAGTAATAACATTTTGAATATAGTTTTGAGTTGAGGTTCTAAAATAGATTCAAATAGTTTCAGTTGTGAGTGATGTGGTGGCAGTGGACCCCAAAGTCTTTTTGCTGTGGGACACAGAACCAGCAGAAAAAAGCAAAATAATATTGCCGCCATTTTCCCAGTAGCCCAGTGGTAAGAAAATACTTGGCAAGTGTGAGAGATCAAAGTACAAAATCCGTTACTGATACGAGGGATTCAAATCCATTTCATCAGGAAAGTGTCTTAAACTCAATGATATTGAATATCATAGGGTGTATTACTCAATTGTTGCTGTTAAATCTGTTCTGCTTTGTATGAAATAGTTAAAATTGCAGCTCAGTAGCATCTAGAATACAGGTACTTCAACCTCCTAGTGAGATACCTACTCTAAGGCTTCAGAATGATAGTTTTCCCTGTCTGTAATATTGTGAGCATTTGCCATAGGCTGGAACTGCTCCAAGAAAAGGTGTTAAGGGAAATCTTCCCCACACTGGTGGAAGATAAACAATATGTTTAGTTAGGGGCTGTTCCTGTTGAAGGAAAAATGTTACTTCATATTTGATTGGATTATTTTGTATTTGAATTGGCTGCCATTATTTTCAATTGTAAAATGAGAGTCAGGTTTCCTTAGTAACGCGATTGCCAAATACATGAAAAATCAGAAGATATAACGCAAAAGTCTTGGCTGATCGAAGTTTAAGAAACTGGAAGGAATGGTGATCACAAATTAGCAGTATTAGTTACAGTGTACTGCATGATAGTCTTTAATAGAGAACATTTCTAGGGCATTCTGTTATTTAAGAGTTTAATAGTAAAAGCACTTAATTTGAAGTGAAAAAAGCTCAATTATTTTTATTTCTTTTTTATTGTTAGAGTTATAAAACTAATGCCTTGCATCATTCTGATGGTTCTAACAGAGTCGCACCAAAGATGCATTTGGCCCTTTGCCTTTTGGATTGCAGGCAAAGTCATAGAATGTTATTGTTTGAAAGCTAAAGTAAATCAGGCTGTTATGAATTGCTAAATGCAAGATCAAACCCATAATCCTCTTTAGACAACTGCTCAGGAAAAAAAAATGAGCACAACTGTGACCCATGTTTTTCAGACTGAACAAAATTTCTTGATTTTCTTTTTATCGTATTCTTGCCTGATAGCTAGTGAGAGTTTAAGAGGCTATTCTCATAAGGAATTAAGATAATAACACTTTTCAGTGGAGGGGAAATGTTATCATCAGGAAATGAAAGAAAATACTTTGATATTTTTGTAAAGATTCTTACCTCCATTCGACATAAAATCTTGGCTGAGACAATATAGAAATAACAAAGAAATCTTGTAAGATATCTTACAAGATATGGCTTGAGACATTTGCCACAAAAGCTTTATGGAAGGCTTGCTTTTTCTGTGGTTATCTTAAATAGCAGATGCAATATCTATTGCAGCACTTTGGCTCTATGATAAGTATAGCAAAAAAAAAGCATCTTCAGTGTAGATGCAATGGCTTTCAGTGATATGTTGCTAATACTTAAAACAATAGTCTCCTCATAATGTTTCTCTAACCATTATAATTCACTTTAGGTGCATGTGCACTTAGCAATGCACAATGCTAGGCTAAAAAACCCTAAAACAGATGGTATGCCTCCCTAACACAGCACCAAAACACTTCATCTTTTCATCGAAAGCTTCTTCATATAGTAATAACATAGATTTGAATGGAAATTCATAAGTTCCTTTTTCCAAAAATGGTTATACTTCGAATTTAAATTATGAACTATTGAGTGTATAGCAGTAGCATGTTCACCCTCAGCATTTTGAAAAGGAGGAGAAAAGGATAAAGATTTTCTATAGATGCATTGCAGTGGAGATATTCTATTCCTGTGATTTTTTTAATAGTTGAAGCTTGATGAAATCTAATATAAATGTCTTCCATGTATTTTTAGGTGTTCTAGGGATAGCTCTAGGGATAACACTGAGAGGTGTGATTTAGCTGAATCCAGTGAAAAAGTGAACTCATGTAATGATAGGCATGGAAGTTTTGCAAAGGGAACGCCCTTAAGCCTTCTTTGGCTTTACAATACGTGCAATCGTCAGTAACTCATTCACAGCTGTGGGAACCTCCTCTACTGCTGCCTTGCAATTTATGGAGCTACTCTGAACTTCTGCACAGAGTGTGCCAAATACAAATTTACTAACCTAAGTGCATTTTGCACTTGCCCAAGGAATTATCTACTCAGGCTAATGGAGAGCTAGACTGAGAATTCATATATTTGCAGAACTCTGGCAGAATTCAATAAGCTGATGCTGAGCATTCATGTTCATTGCTGCATAGCCTGTAGAGAAAAACGACAGGACAGTCATGGAAACTGTTACATGAAAAGAAGCTGTGAAAAATAGTGACTATTCCCTATTTTGTAAATTAGAGAGGGATTCATTCCCCTAATCTTACCTGCTTAAATGTTAGCCAACTAATCCAAACAGATCCTCTGGAATCCTTGAGTGAAATGATAGAAACATCTCCAAAGAGCAATTTATCCTCTCTATGGTACTCATCTGTCTTCGAATAGGGAGAATCACTCTCCAGAGGTACTCGTGTGCCTCCACAGACTACTGAGCAGTCTGGGCCATCTGACAGGACACCCAGCACTAAACACTGGGACAATGCATTGGACCCCAACTATTTTGCGCTAAGCCAACGGGAACTTCATGCTGAATTTTTATCTATCTTTACATGCTGGATTGTTGAAAATATACTTCTCACAGGAAAGTAGTGGTTTCTATGAAAAAATATATTTACGTAGTGGGAAAACCGTGGATTTTTCTTGCAGAACAAGTGTGATGTTTTCTTGCAAAAATGAGAGACCTTTCCTTCTCACACTTTAGCCGACCATCTCTAGCCAGCCTTCCTTGCTACTGTTTATACTGGTGCTTTTGACAGAGACGGGGAAATCGGATCAGTGCATTCCTTTTTGTAGAAATCTTTGCAACAGTGCACACTGTCACCATGCTATGGCCTCTGTCTCCCCTCGTCTTCTTTTCCTTGGGCTAACATCTTTCATTCATTCACACCTAACCTGGATGCAACACTCACGCTGTGTCTTCACTGAAGTGCAGTGGAGACAATTGATTATTCTGTGTGTCTTCTGGGCTCCTGTTCCTTTACAAGTTGTGAGCAAGTTTGCTCTGCTAAGAATAGTTTATCACATTCTAACTGTGATTCTCCATAACATTTAGGCCTTTTTCTCTCAACCTGTTGCCTAGTGAGTTCTCCATCCTGCACTAGCCTGATTATACCAATTTGAGAACAGAAACTGCACTTACTCCAATGGCAAAACACTCTTTTCTTTCTGATCTTAACTCCATTTTGTCTTTCCAAAGACGACCTTTGTCCATTTTTTTCACTTCATTTTTTTCACAGAAATATTTGTAAGATCTCAGATTTGTCCCGATGCGTAACAGGCATATGTTGGGTATTCTGAAAAATTTACAAAAAATGAAAAATTTAGCTCTTGCACATTTCTGGTATTCCATAATTCTCTCTTTGAAATGAGTTTTGCTGTATTCCAGAAGAGTCAGGCTTTTGAAAATGGAGATCACTATCTAAAAGTAATCAATTCTTCCCATATTTTTACTTATACCTTGTTCTTGTGAATTTCTCTATGCTTTAGGTACCAATGTTCCTATAATTCCTTAATAAATGCTATTCATCACAAATACCATCGCTGTATTCTGCTTTACAGTGTTTGTTTTTTTTTTTCTTGCTGACATTATTCTTAGAGGGCAAAGGAAAAAGGAGAAATCCTCTTCATGATTTCAAAAAAACAGGAGAGACGATGCTCATTAAAGTAAACAAATCACTGGAAGTAAAAACCAAGCTGTTAAATACCACGGAGCAATGTGCCAAGAGGTGCAGCAGGAACAAAGGCCTTTCATTCACATGCAAGTAAGTTATGTATCTCTACTATTTTAATTTTTTCCTGATATGATCAATATAGTACTCTGCGGCCAAATATCTCTTTATAAATGACATCAGCGGCAGCTTATACTAAGGATGATCTAAAGTTTGTGCGTTTTTAATTTCTGTGATCTGGTTCTACCTGTCCAGAGAGTGCCAGTCCTTTTTGAAGCTGTAAACTGAGTTTTTCCTGTCTTCTTAACTTGTCCAGTCAGCAATCTTTTCCATGATATCTCTGAAAAAATGTACTCGTATTAAGATGTGGATGACTTGTATTACACTGTAGTATTCAGTGAACATTTCTGAGATTTTTATATCTCTTATAAAATGGTTATTGTTGCACATCACAGCTGCAGTATTTCAGCACCACTTCAGACCATATTCCGTCTTCATTCTTTGCACATTACTCCCACTGAAGTCGGTGGGAATTTCACACATGGAATACAGATATATGCACTGCTGAGGTTCGCTGCCAAGTACTACGAATCTGATACAATGGAATCAAACCTTTTGGGCTACACAAGCATTACGAATATACGATAGCAGCTCTGCAGCGTCTGCTGTCTCTTATGAACACATCATGCAGCTGATTGCTTGTCTGGCTAGTATGTATTCTCTACTATTTTTTTGGAACAAACCACTATTATTTTTGCTATGTGCTAGACTTGAATTATCCCTCTGGCCTCTCTTAGTCTGTACCATTAGCAAAAAATGAAAGGGCACGAATGCAGAATGGTCTTTGAGAGAACGGATGGCTTCGGCGCTGGTGGGTGCTGCGCCACATGTGAGCCTGATCTTGAAACACACAACATTTTTGCCACTCGCTGCAAAGGACAGCTAATGTGATAACAAACCTCTTCCTAGGAAGAGAAGATCTTCCAATGTAATTTAATCCTTCTATAAGCCTTTGATTGCAGCGTTGCAAGATCTAGTTTGTATCATTTTGTGCCTTGACTATGTATTTACGTGTGTAAATAATAAGTGGAGTTTACTTATTACTGTCAGAAAATATTTTCCAGGCACTAATATTTTTCACGTGGCAACTGAGTAGGGGCTGACTCCTTTTCCTACTGGCAGAACTTCCACTGAGATCATTGCCAAGGGGATCAGGTTGTTCTCAATACAGCAAAAGATCCTTGAGCTCTGATGGTCAGCAGTGAGGAGTGTTATAAAATGAGGTTGCACAGGATAAAAAGAAAAATTCTGAATAATGCCGAACATGCAGCAATTCTAAATTCCAACATCTGTTTAGGAAAATTGTTTCAAGCCTCTTCTAACGTTTCAGAACGTTATATGTTCTGAGAATAAAAAGTAGGTTAATATGTTTGTTGATTTCCCTCTACCAAAACAATAATCTAGAACCTTTCTCTCTCTCTGTGTTTCTCTCTCTCTTTTTTTTTGTTACTTTCTCATTTGTGAAGGATTTTTTCATTGAGATAGCAACCATTCATTAGAGGGACAAATTTTCTCTGCCATAATCAGTCAATAAAAGGACACAGAGAAGTCATCTGACACGTATTCCCTTTTAAAGGAATCGGTGATCAGCAATGTTTCCCATTTGCTGTCAGGATCCCCAGCCTTTAACTTCATATCACTATATGATTGCTGCAAGGTGAAACTTATTGCCAACATTAATTAAAATCAATTAATTTAGTGTTTGCTGTGGGTGTAAGCTAAAATAACAAGAGAAGTGACATAAAACATCATTTTAAATACTTGAAATATGTGACTGGATTTTATCTTTGTTTATAGAAAATTTCATGGCATGACTGTGAGGCCCGACACCCATGCAGTTTTTCTCTACCACTTGGGTTATAGCATTGGTGTTTTCTTTAATTTTCTCAATTTGTTTAAGTATTACTATCAAATAAAAGAGAAATAGATTGTAACACAGTTATGATAATAGCAATGGGAGCAGCAACAGCTAGGTCTGTGCCCTGCGAGTCACCCAAGCAGGAGGAGGGTCAAGCCTTGCTCAGCCTTTTTCTCTGCCTGAAAGTGGCAAAGTAGCAGATTTCAGGAACTACAGACCTATATAAGATTAGTCATCCCTTATCTTCTGAACAAAAAAAGGAGTAAGGCTACTTTTGATTTATTTAGCACATTTTTTTTTCTAGTACTTCAATATAAATAATGAATGTGGCTTATATTCTGTAATCATTAATCCTTGCTGTTTTTAACTCTGAAATCAGTGTCAGAGTTAACATATGCCATTTCTCAGGCCTGGCTTTTCTTCTTTTCTCTTATTGTCACTTTTTGCACACATCTTGATATCTCAAATATGCATTACAAGATTCTTATCCAGACCTGTTTCTCCTTCATAACACTCTCTTCTCTCTTCATAAGCTCTCCCCATTACAATCCCCCTTATACTAATTTACTATTTCTTTGTGACTATCTGTGCATCATTTTGTGCCTTCCTGATCAGCTTTATTGACTCACTGACAAGCTATTCCTATTCCTTCCTTTCACTGTAGTCCATAACTCCCACTGTTTTCTCTCAGTCATCCTTAGAGCTTTTCCCACTACATTTCTTATGGATGAGAAAAAATCCATGAAAAAGAGCATATTACTATTTTACTGGCTATCCAGATGACTGCTGCAGACATGTCACTTCCTTACCTACAAAGCTCTGCCTGTCTTCTTATTTTCTGCTATTTTCTTACTCTCTGAAATGCATATTTTACTTTATATTTGTGCAGAATGGGATTCCAGTACACTCTGTGGAATTCCGGTATCAGATCAGAAACTCTACCGACTATCTCAGTACAAATAGCAACAACAGAAAATGTTATAATCGACAGTATCAGTAGAAAAAAGTCCAAGAATTTGCTTAAATATGTTGACTTTGGAAGTGTAAAAACTCTCTGGATTTAGGTCCAAGAAAAGATCGTTAGAAACTTTTATGTGGAGAAGGGGCTGAAGCCAAACTGGAAGGAAACCAAGAGGCAACTGAAAGGCAAAAACTAAAAGAAATGTTTGTAAACAGTGTATTCTGCATTCCCACTTTAGGAGGAGGAAGGGAAAGGAGAATGTAATTGGAAAGGCAGGAAAGGTCAAGGATATTTTTGTGAAGATGGAGTTGGAGGGACTTGGATATGCTCACATTTGAGAACTAGCCAGCGGAGAACAGAAGGCTGAACAAAGGCAGAAGGATGAAGGTTAGCAGGTTGGAAACATTTGGAGTCAACAGAGTAGAGAGAGCAGTTGGATGAAAAATCTGTTTGGTGATGGAAAAGATAATGAAGAGGATGTTTGAAAGAGAGACAAGTGGGGAGGTTGGATAGGATCTTGTAATATTTTTAATTGAAGCCAGCAAGACCTTACACAGAAAAACGTGCGTGGTTAGAGGGGAATTACATGGAAACCAAAGAGCTTTGAGTTGGAGATGTAGTGTTGTTCAGCTAGGAATACGGCAGTGCCGAAATAGGGATGTAGTGTAGAAAACCTGTGTCCTTTGGATGTTATTAAGCAGTGTTAAAATTCCTTCATAGGCTAGAACAAAACAGCTGAAAACGTTTGGGATGACTGGTGGCTGATAGAAGGACAGACTGCATGGTGGGGCAAAGGTGCTAGTTTCATGTGGGTAATTCACTATTTGATTGCCCTGAAAAATTAAGGGAAAATGAATTTTAAGTAGTTTTTTTTTTGTTTTGCTTTTTTTCTTATTGGAATAACTACCTTCCCATCCCTCCACCACTAGACTTTCTAGTCCATCATAATGTTTGGTGTGGATAAATATATTTTATTTAATTCTATGTCTTTTAAATCCTTTAAAATATTTTACCTACATTTAAGGATATTCCTTTCAAAATGTCATTGGGACAAAAAAGCCCATACATTTCACCCAAAATGCTGAATTTTGTTTTTTTATTTTTCTGATTTCTGTTTATCTTTCTCCCCTCTGCGCCCCCCCTCCCCCCAATCACTGGATTCAGCCAGCACACATTGTACTGCATCCTTCAAAGCAGTTGAAAATAAGATGGAAAAGAAAACAAAAGCAAAAGCAAGGACAAGCTGTAGGTACACTATCACAGTTTAGACTATTTGTAAAAATAAAAATAATCTTGCTTTCAAATAGCTGTGTTGTTCTAGGCAAGACACAGACTCCTTGCGCTTCAACTTTCCTCTAGCCATCAGTGTGAGATTATTAACTATTTCACAGGCATACCGTAAGCACAGCAAAGAAGATACTTTTGAGTTGTCTTTGTCTTCTTCTCCCCCGCCCTCAAGAAAACAGCTCAGCTGGGGTCAAAATGCTGTCTCAGTCACATTTATCTCACTTTTAAAGTAGAGATATTTAATGACAAGGGTACTCTTAGATTAGTGTGAACAGCCAAGCTGGTATTTAGTGTGATGGCCACATCAATTTAATTTCTTTGTTACTTTGTTCTTGTCAGCACAGTTTTGAATTTAAATACTAATTTGGACTGTTTCTCTGACTTTCCCAGTAAAAATAAATCTGATGTCATTGTACGCTCCTTGGCAAGCCATGTGTCATTATTAAAAACCACACAGAGATTTTTTTCTCATCCAGATTTTCTTTGCAGGGCCTTTGCTTATGACAGAGTTACAAAACGATGCCATTGGTTATCCTTTACCAGCTTGACAAATGGTGTGAGAAAGAAGCAAGACCATGCGTTTGATCTGTATGAAAAAAAGGGTAACTGATTTATTTACTGATTTTGTTTTTCCAGCCACAGAGGGAAAAGTAGCTGAGGTCAGTCAATGACTTTTATAGGGTAGTTGCATCCCGGACATAGGATATTTTATACACTCCAAAGACTGCATCTTACAGTTCGGTTTGCAAATATCTTTTATCTTTGCTGTCATATGAGCACAATGTTAGTCTCTACACTTGCTCTTGCCTCAGTTTTTCAACCTATATATCTGCCTCTCAACACTTGTACTGGCCTGAACTGCTACTTCAGTATACTACTTAAAAGCTCAGTCATATGAATTATTGGTATTGACTTAAAATTGTTTTTTTTTTAACCTCACTGATGTGTGTAGGAGTTAAGTGCTCAACTGCAGACTTTTAGTAGCATTTTCAGTAGCTTTTTAGGTCAAGTTACTGATTAATGTTTTTTAAAAAAAGAAACAAGAATGCACATGGAAAATGAAACAGTACTTTGGATCATGATATCTGTAAAGACTATCAGAAGTATTTTCATTTTTTGTTTAAAGAGTGTGGATGAGCTAAATAAATTGAGACAACATTTAGCCAGACTCTTAATTTTTACCCCTTTTCTTTCAACAGACTATGTTAGGAATTGTATCATCGGAAAAGGCGCGAACTACAAAGGGACGATATCTGTCACCAAAAGCGGGATCCAGTGTCAGGCCTGGAATTCCATGATCCCCCATGAGCACAGGTAAGAGTTCAGGAGCAGAGACAGCCGTAACGGGTGCTGCGACAGCTCTTGCAAAGCACAGTTTGACTTATTAGCAGATAAAGAATTTGTGAGAAAACTGACCTTAAACAACAAAATCTCTCAGGTGTATTCTTTGCCTTTCTGCAACAGTTGCCATTCTGCAGATCCTAGAAAATCCTTACCTTCTCAGGCTTTCTCCAAAGAGGATTCTCTTAACCTCTTAATGACAGCACGTGTTTGGATCCCATTCTCTCCTATGTCTTTTTTTTTTCTCCTTTTTTTTTTTTCCTGTTTATATCCTTTTGATCTCTCAGCTCCTGTCAGTAGCAAAGCAGCTGTTCTACTTCAGTTTGGGGTCTGGAAGGTTATCACTGTTTTCTAATTGACTCCTATGTAATATGTCTTTTTAAAACAATGCAATGTAGGAAACTAGGGATGTTAGTTCACCTATTTGATTCTTAGATGATTTTTGTTGCTATTGCATAGGTACTGTTCATTTGCTATTATTCATAGCATATTTCAAACTTTATAAAGCACTTTGAATAGGTGATAAGTACAGAGAAAGGATGACGTAGATGAATGAAACCCTTTCCTTCAGGTCTTGCAAGGAATAACTCAAGAGAGATGGAGCAGCTGTGGGACTTGACTTTTGAATTTAAGGCCTGATATAAAGAGGAACTGAGACTGTATCTGTACCACGGAGACGGTCCAGAGTAGCCTCATGAGTCCTCTCACCTGCAAGTTTCCCATCCACGCTGCTGACTTTTACTCTTGACTCACACCATCAACACTTGGGTAGGAAGAGCCAAGTTGGAGATTGCTAGTAAGGAACTGGGCTACATACAGCTCGGGCTTGCCCAGACCAAATCTATCCAGAGTGCAAAATGAGAGCTTGGAACAACATTAAAAGGGCAAAGGATACTTGGGTTCTCTCTTTGTAAGACATGGCACAGAGCTGAGCCTCAGGCAGCCCAAAATGTGGACGTGATGACTCAAAATACACAGGGCAGTGAGTTTGATTTTCAGTATGGGACCAGACCTGTGCTTAACTATGAACATATCAGAGAATCACAGAATCGTTTAGGTTGGAAGGGACCTCTGGAGATCATCTAGTCCAACCTCCCCGCTCAGGCAGGGTCCTCTAGAGCATTTTGCCCAGGATCACATCCAGACGGGTTTTGAATATCTCCAGCGAAGGAGACTCCACTACCTCTCTGGGCAACCTGGTCCAATGCTCTGTCACCCTCACAGTCAAGAAGTTTTTTCTCAGGTTCAGATGGAACTTCCTGTGGTTCAGTTTCTGCCCATTGCCTCTTGTCCTGTTGCTGGGCACCACGGAGAAGAGATTGGCCTCATCCTCTTGACACTCCCCCTTCAGATACTTGTACACGTTGATGAGATCCCCTCTCAATC